TTTCTTAGGCTTTGTAGTAAGTGCAGGAGGAGTTAAAGTAGATGAAGAGAAGATAAAAGCTATCAAGGAGTGGCCAACCCCCAAGAATATTGGAGAAGTCCGAAGTTTCCATGGCTTAGCAGGATTCTACAGGCGTTTTGTTCGTGATTTCAGCACCATAGTCGCGCCCTTAACAGAAGTAATGAAGAAAGACGTGGGGTTCAAGTGGGGAGAGGCGCAAGAGCAGGCTTTTACAGCCCTTAAAGAGAAGCTTATCAATTCGCCCTTACTAGTACTTCCTGATTTTACTAAGACTTTTGAGATTGAATGCGATGCTTCTGGTGTAGGTATTGGAGCAGTTCCAGGATAAGAAGCCCGTCGCTTACTTCAGCGAAAAGTTAGGAGGTTCCACGTTGAATTAACCCACTTATGACAAGGAGTTATACGCATTGGTTCGAGCTCTCCAGACATGGCAGCATTACCTATGGCCTAAGGAATTCGTCATTCATACCAATCACGAGTCTGTAAAGCACCTCAAGGGTCAGCAGAAGCTTAACAAAAGACATGGGCGATGGATGGAGTTCATTGAGACATTCCCCTACATTGTTAAGTACAAAAAAGGTAAAGATAATGTGGTCGCAGACGCATTATCCCGGAGGTACACTCTTATTTCGACTTTAACATCAAAGTTGATTGGATTTGAACACATTATAGATCTTTATGAATCTGATACTGACTTTTCTGAGAGCTATGCCAAATGTCATAAGTTTGCCTGTGAGAAATTTTATAGACAGGATGGATACTTGTTCTTCAGTAACCGATTGTGCATACCACGAGGATCTATTCGAGAGTTACTGGTACGAGAAGCTCATGGAGGTGGATTAGCTGGACATTTCGGTGTCACAAAGACACTTCTTGGGCTACAAGAGCAATTCTACTGGCCGAACATGAAGAAGGACGTTGAGAAAATCTGCTCTAGATGTGTCGTATGTAAGATGGCTAAGAGTAAAGTTCAACCTCACGGTTTGTATACTCCTTTGCCTATTCCTTCTCAACCTTGGACTAATATCTCTATGGATTTTGTAGTTGGCTTACCTCGCACCAGAAATGGTAGAGATTCTATTTTTGTAGTTGTTGACAGGTTTAGCAAGATGGCTCACTTCATCGCTAGCCACAAGACAGATGATGCTGTGAATGTAGCTAACTTGTTTTTCAGGGAAGTAGTACGACTGCATGGAATGCCACAGGTTATCGTTTCAGATCGAGACACGAAGTTCTTAGGACACTTTTGGCGAACACTTTGGGCTAAGCTGGGAACAAAGCTCTCATTCTCAACTACGTGTCATCCTCAGACCGATGGACAGACCGAGGTGGTGAATAGAACGTTGTCCACACTTCTAAGGACTTTGGTGAAAAGTAACCTCAAGACATGGGAAGAGTGCCTGCCTCATGTCGAGTTTGCTTACAATCACGCTAAGCATTCTGCTACTCTCTTTTCTCCTTTTGAAATTGTATATGGATTTAATCCACAATCACCTCTAGACTTGATCCCTTTGCCTTTAAGTGGAAAATGCAGCTTCAATGGCAAGGAGAAAGCTGAACAGGTCCGAAGAATACATGCTAAGGCTAAGGAGAACATCGAGAAGAAGACAAAGCAGTATGAGAAGCATGCCAACAAAGGACGAAAGGAGCTGATTTTCGAAGAAGGAGATCTGGTGTGGATCCATCTGAGGAAGGAGCGATTTCCAGCTGAGCGAAAGAACAAGCTAATGCCCAGAGTTGATGGACCATTCGCAGTCATCAAAAAAATCAACAACAACGCCTATCAGATTGATCTTCAAGGTAAGTATGATGTTTCTGATGCCTTCAATGTTTCTGACTTGCTTCCTTATGTTGCAGATTCAGATTTGAGGACAAATCCTTTTCAAGAGGGAGAGGATGATATGATCGTGACCAGCTCAGAGGAGGAGGAACCAGAGGTAGCTGGCAGGATTACTCGTTCCAGAGCTAGAGAGATGGCTAAGGAGGCTCACGCACTCATAGCTGCAGAGGACATCGATCAACTGGAGGCTGGAGCTCACATCTTCAACATCTCTATCTTGAGGAATGAAAAACCCAGTAACAATGACTAGGTAACTTAGGTGATGATTCTGTACTCTTTTCCTTGGTGAGGATTTTGGAAGGCAAGGAGGTTCTTCTCCAAGGTTTTTAACGAGGCAGAAATCATTGCTACGTCGAGTTACTTAGAAGTTGTTACTAATGGGTAATAATGTGCAAAGTCACAATGACTTGTGCACTAGTTGTTTTAGGCGCACCACTTAGGATTAGAAGGGACACCTCGCTGTTTTATTTTTAAATTAAACTTCTTGTTGTTTTATTTCAAACTCCATGTAGTTTTGTTATTAGGGCTGCGATTTTCTCTCTTAGTCTATAAAAAAGAGAAAATCGCCTAAGTGTTATTCAGTGAAGAATTTTGATCAAACTTTTAACGTGTTCTTCTCTCTTTTCGATTTCTGAGAACTAAAAACTCTGAAATTCGAATCTCTTAAAACTAATCTGTTTACAAGAGATTCTGCTATCACCATCACATCCCTCTCACGATCCATCGACGCATCCATCAACCACCATCTCAAACCATCGATCCGCCGCATCACACCACCATCTCCCTTCATCGATCTGATCCACCAGTCACCGTCGCATCTCATCGCATCATCTCTGCATTCCATCCATCATATCGCCACATCTATCGCCCCTTGCTTCAGAGTTGATCACCTAGGATCGTATCAAGGCTCTTTCAAAATTTTGTTGAAAATCGATGTACACTTTAACAGAAGGACAGAGCACAGCTTAGGATAGTTCTTCATTCAGGAGAGACCTGAGACGTTCCTCAGCACATCAACCGCCTTCCTCTTCCTCTATAGCCATAATCTTCAGCTTCTCCTAGCGTTCCAAATGTTTGTGAACTTCTTCTTTTGAGGATTTTAGTATAACTTGATCCTCATTAAGGTTGTCTCTATCTTCCAAGACTGTGATTCACTTGGATTTTTTGGTGAGCCTTTTTTATCACGGCTTCCACATTGTTCATCACCGCAGATTTCTCTTGTGACTCCATTTTGGGTCACCAGAGAGAAAAGCTGTGGCAATTTAGAAAACTCCGCTCACAGTTCTCTTATTATCAGTAATTGGCCAAAATTATAACATAACTTTTCTTCGTCTAGTAAAGGTCTAAATGGGCAAACATTCGGTGCAACAAAGCCCAGCAAACCCAAATAATATAACTATTACACCAATACATTAAAATTTGAAATTTTTATTTTTTTTTATTTTTGTTAATAAGTTACATCTATATTAACCAAAAATATATATAACTGTCAACTATATTTGAAACTAAGTATTGTTTTTGAAATTTAGACATAAAAACTCATAAACGTTCATAATAGAATAAAAAAACATAATAGAGCAACACTTTAATATATATATATATATATATGAAATAAGAGGAAAAAAAAAGATTTTTAAAACAAAAATTGTTATTATAAAACAACATTTAGGGTCTGAATAGTGACAACATTTTTATATGTGCGGGAAAAATGATTTTAGTGTGTGGTACGGTTGAATTGCCGTACGTATGGGAAAAATATATTTGCGGAAAAAGTGCGGTTAATATAGAATAAGTAGTACCGAAAAATATTTGATTGGTGTAAAAAGAACTTACACTACAAGAAATCTATTTTTTAGCCACGAATAGGGCCAAAGATATTATCTGTAGCCACCACATAGCCACAAATTTGCCACAATTGGCCATAATTTTGTTTTTTAGCTAAATCATGGCTAAAACATATCCAATTCGTGACAAATTGGCCACATAAATATTCTTGGCGATGCCTTCGCCGTTAGCCATAACAGAGCCACGTTACTTCCCTGGTTTGCGCAACATCAGCTACGATCTCAGCTGTTGCTAGTCTCTGGTCATTTAGCTACAACCACACCACGGAATGACCTTGGCAACAGATTTTTTCGCCACAACAATTGGCCATGATGGTTGGCCAATTTAAATATCTATATTACCACTAATTGGCCACAATTATATCCCTGGCAAAATGCTGTTTTGTATAGTCACGTCGAATAGACATTAAAGACCGAAGATGTTCATACTATGAAAGCAAATATCTTTGTGAAAATCTGCAATTTGGAGAAAATTTTCCCTCCATGGTTTTTTGATGTAATGGAACATCTTCCAATTCACCTTCCAGATGAAGCACCATTAGGTGGACCAGTACAATTCTGATGGATGTATCCATTCGAGAGATTTATGTACCATCTCAAAAAGAAAGCAAATAAAAAGCACGCATTGGAGGGTCAATAGTGGCGCAATGTATAAATGAGGAGATCTCTTACTTCACATCCAACTATTTTTCGTCACAACGTGTCCATGATCCCTCCACCGATGTTGGCTTACAGTTCACTTACATGTACTCCGATGTTCCCTCCATGTTTCAACCCATTGGACGTGTTGGTGGAAAAGTTGTTCGTGCTTGGTTAAATGATGTATACATGCATATCCTTCAGACATTTCTAATGATAAATTGTGAAGAGCTTGCACCGTATGAGATGTTTATATATTATATATATAATTACAAACATATAATTTATTTATCTACTTTTATATAAATATAAAAATGTATATGCAGGATGTTCGAAGAGTATATGACTATAGTGCAACCAAATACCACCGCAACCAAGATGACAAACGCTAAAGAACAACATTATGTTGAATGGTGCCGAGACAATGTAAGCTATGATTATATTAATATATAATCATATATATACATAATTAAGGTAACTAAAAATATTTATGCTTTTTGCAGATAAATAATAGTAGTCGAGATTATACGCCACTTTTATGGATGCTTGAATTTGTACAAGGCCCAAAGCGCCAATACATATTTTGGCCAATTTACTTCACGTGGGATACAATTTTCATACTTTCACCCATGGTCAAAACGAGTAAACGATAAATTATGGCCAATCCAGATGAAAGGCGGATTCGGGGTCTCATGAATTTGATAGCTGGTCCGTCTGGTTCTCGGTTAGGAAAGAAGAAAACGGGGTCTCACAATTGGTATCATAGCGTCAGGTTAGCCAACCGGCTCTGACCCGGGTGGCATCTTGGGACGTGGTTGAGAATTCGAGGACGAATTACTTAGAAGTCGGGGAGAATTGTGACATCCCGATTTCTGGTATATGTGAAAAGGCTTATAAGAATTGATTTGACTACCTATGTCATCAAAGTGCACTTATTTTTTCCGGTCAAGTGTCTTGAGAAAATTTCAAAGTTAAGCGTGCTTATGCTGGAGTAGAAGAAAACGGGGTCTCACAATTGGTATCAGAGCGTCAGGTTAGCCAACCGGCTCTGACCCGGGTGTCGTCTTGGGACGGAATTCGAGGACGAATTACTTAGAAGTCGGGGAGAATTGTGACATCCCGATTTGGTATATGTGAAAAGGTTTATAAGAATTGATTTGACTACCTATATCATCAAAGTGCACTTATCTTTACCGGTCAAGTGTCTTGAGAAAATTTCAAAGTTACACGTGGTTATGCTGGAGTAATCTCAGGATGGATGACCTACCGGGAAGTAGTCTGTAGTACTGTGCGAGTGAGGACAAAGTACGTGAAAATATCACGTGGTGATTGCAGGGACAGTAGAAAACTCTTACGAGCCTCCCGGACCAAGCAACTCCCGACCGTCGGACAGGGGTGGGCCCATGGGCCTAAAAAAGTGGCCAACCGTCGGACATTGGTGGGCCAACGGGCATAAGAGATAAGGTGTTGGGCTTACTGGTAGGGGCGGTTGGTGGGCCAACGGGCCTAGAAAGAGAGCGTTGGACCCCAGAGTATACGACGTTGGGCTCACTGGTAGGGGCGGTTGGGAGTGTTCAGAGTTGATAGCCAATCCAGATGAAAGGCGGATTCGGGGTTTTATAGATTTGATAGCCGGTCCGTCTGCTTCCCGGTTAGGGAAGATGAGTGCAGAGTCTCACACCAACACTCAAAGATCCAATCTGGTCAAGAAGCAGTCAGTGACGAGGGATCTGATGCAACACCAAGTTTCGGCTGAACAACTTAATAGTCTGTTTTATGAGGTAAATTTCTTTGCTTATTTTCAGTTTACTAAAAAATTCATCTCCTTTACTTATATCTTTCTGCCTTTTTATTATCATTTGATTTTAATTATTATCTTTTTATCACAGGTTGTTACGTCATACAAAGGGCATATTTACGGACTCGGATCTGCTCATCGTTATTACGGTGATTCTATTCCGTCTTCCTCAACTGCCATCCCTCGTACAATGAATTTGGAAACGAAGGTGACTTCGATTGAAGGAAACATGAATTCCATGGCCACAGACATTGCTGCTATTACGGAAGCCTCAAGAAGGCTTTTGGAAGCTAACTGGATTGATCCGTCTGTTGTTCTCAAAGCTACAACGGCAACAACAAATACTACAGAGACGATGCGGGTAGCTACTCCAGAGCACAAGTTCCTCTTGCAAACAGTCCGATCAATTGGGCAGACATGGAACCTCAGTCTTTTGATGAATATTTTCAAAATGATCTCAACCATTAGCAATCAATTTTAGTCCTTTGAAGTTGCAATGGTTATATATTTTGATTATAGTTATTAACGGCAATACATATGTAGGTTGATGGAATGCTCTTTTTTGTAAATCACTGATGGTGATATATGTTAAACTAATAATTTTTTTGTAAGTTAACCTGATGTAGGTTTGAAACTGATTGAATCTGAAACTCCTATAGTTTTCAGAAACTGATCTAGAATTTTGTATGAAAAAAGTTTCGGTTAATCTAATTTTAAGAATTTCAGTTACTAATTGTATTTAAATTTAATTTCTAATTCTCAGAAATTAGTTTTTGTTAATTCAAAATTATAGCATAATTAGTAAATTTATATTAAATCAATTTTATAAAGTTACCACAGATTAAACATGGTTAGATTGTGGCAGTTTTCATGCCATGGTAATACTAAAGTCACACAATTTTTCGTTGCAAAATGCCTAGGGATGAGATTTTCTAGCCTTTTCGTGACTATGTTGCTAAGGAATGGCCATGATTATAACCAGTGGCTATGTTGTCGCACCATGCCATGAACGGCCATATTTTAGACTACAACAACGATCAAATAGCAACGAAAATTATTTGTGGCTGTCTGTTGTGATTTGTAGAATTGCCACGGATATTGTCTTATTGCCACGATATTTTTCCAGGCTATTCAATAGATTTCTTGTAGTGTTATTGTCAATAATAAAATGTTTGAATAAAGTAACAAATATCAAGTGGTGCAGATTACAGATCATAGAAAAATATATTAGAAATTAAAATATGAATAATTAGTATAATTGTAAATTATTATTTCTTTTGTGTTAATAAAAAAATATGTTCATATATTTATGAACCTTAAATATCCTAAAATTTAATTTTTGACAAATATATTACTAAATCAAGTAAAACGATAAGTCATAAAAAATAAATATAATATAATAATGATTTGAAAATTTTAATACATTTACTAATGATGTTATTAAACAATAAATTAATAATCAAATTAGGTGACAATATAAACTTACTAATGATTAAAAAATAAAAGAGTTACTAACAAGACTTTACTTTGAGTGTGAGAGTTATATATTTATATATTTTAATCTATGTTTATAGGTGTATAGATTGACATATAGAGTAATTTTATTTATTAAAAAATTATTTTTTGAAAAAACAATTGATCAACCGTTGGATAAAGCGGTAATACCAATTTAAAAAGCGGTCTTTTTGCATAATCTGTTGTACAAATCCGTGAATTGCTCTTTTTGTCTTTTAAAAAATATAATTTATGGAAAAAATCTCTGATTAGTATACATGTTACGGTTTTCAATTTTTTTTTTTGTGAAATCTGCTTTTGTCTTATTGCCATTCAATACCTTAGTTAAGTTGGTTCTTTTGTGTTTGATGAGCTACAGTTACAAAGCTCCTATAGTGGTCCGGTGTGGATGACGACACGCTTGCATGGTTTATAATCGCGAAGAGATATCCCACAACATTTAAGATGTCTTTTTCCTTACATAACATAACAAGTAACATGCAATCAATCAAATAGAATAAAACAAATAAAATGATTGTCACTAGTAAAATTAATGGAATAAATATGAGTGGAATAAAGAAACAAATTATTTTCGTTCTCGTAAAAAATAGTAGAAGAATGTTTTCCTCCCAAATTTGTTCATTTTTTCAATTTTTTTCTTTAAGTTGAACAAGTTAAAAAAAAAATTTTTTTGAAATGTTAAGTTCATTGATTGATCAAAAAAAAATTTAAAGTGAAAAAAAAATTGTTGTAAAAACAATAGAAAGAATTAAATGAATCTCTAATCTCCCCTTGATTGAAACCACATGTATAGTTGGAGAAGGTTTAAAAGTCTAGGTAATTTGTAATAGCAAAGCAAGCTCACTCGATTTCGTATTGTTTTCTCAGTGACTCGAATGAGATGAGATGTAGGCTGGTAGATATGATTATGTCATCTTTCATTCCATTCCTTCCAGAGATAACAAACTGAATCAAGATGAATTTATACCTCTCAAACCGATGGGAAATCAAGTAGTGAAAAGAGTTTTCTCTCAATCACGAACTTTTTTCACACTTTTCAATCGAATGGTAAAAGTTTAGTACTTAACTACATCAATTTCAATCAATATAAATGGTGAAAGTTTTTTTTATACGTTTCTTTTTTTTTAACACTGATCTATTATTCTATTACAAATTATGAGAACTATTACATCGACAATTTAACAACGGACAAGTCTCCCGCCTGCAAATACGCCAAACGAATCTCCATGCATCACGTTGAAAACCTCCTGTAAGCTTGTCTCCATTAATCTGCAAATTAATAATAAATCGCACCTTCCGGGACTCGAAACCCAGATCTCTTGGTGTAGAAGCATTAAAGACCCATTAACCACTAGGCTAAAGAAGTTTCCACAAATGGTGAAAGTTTAGAAATATTTTAATTTCATCAATTTTTATTCCTCAAAATATACTACCAATTGTAGGTTTGTACTCACTCATTAATGTAAATGGAAACAAAAAATACTTGATATCAGTAGACAACAGATTTGTAGTAATATTTGATAATATGTATCTACTTGACAAACAAAAGATATGTAGAAAAGTTTTTTAAATTAATTATCAAATGCATGATAAAGAAGACTGAGATTGACAAAACAAACAAACCAAAAAGATTGAGTAATTCTCTAAATTACCTTTTTATGTTTGGCTTGTAAAAACTATCACCAAAAGGACAAATTAAGAGTATTTAACTGATTTAAGAAGGGTTTCCAAATATTTCCAGAAAGGTTTATAAAAACTCTAAACACAAGTTTGGGAGAATGTTAGATTTTTGTGATAATTTTTGGACAAAAATATATATATAACAAATGATGATTCTGAAAATCCCTTTTGTATTCAGAAACTTCTATTCAAATATATAGAAATAAGCACTATTTGGATAAAAATATTAAATCATTAAATCTTATAGATACTCAAAATCTTACAAAAATACTTTTCTATAAAAAAACAACTGAAATCACTAAATATACGTAGTCAACTGCAAGTCTACACACTTAATGTTACGATTTCAGATATAAAAAAAAAACAATTAAATTAAGATAATTAAAATACTTTACAAAAATCACCCCCTCTCTCTCTGTGACTCTGTCCCGCCTCTGTTAGATTTCAGTCCAAGCATTTCATTGTAGAAGCAGCAACAGGAAGAACTCTAATAATAAACGATAAGCAGAATTTGAATAAGAATCATCATATTCAGTCTCATCTTCTTGAATTAAGGTCCATGATATTCTTTTTTTTGTTTTCTAACAAACGCATTTGATTTAATTGAATTGTGAACGAGAAGATGTCTAGTTATGTTGGTGTACTTGTCTCTGATCCATGGCTACAAAGCCAGTTTACTCAAGTGGACCTACGTAATCTTAAATCCAAGGTTTATCTCTCTTTCTTTTATTCTTTCATCACACATTATCAATTCACACTTTGTAGCCAAATTGACCATTCGAATTCTTTTTTTTCCTTAGTTTATATCGACAAAAACTCAATCCGGCCATCTCATTGTGAAACATTTACCAAAAGTGTTAGCAAAGTTAAAAGATTTCAATGGCACATTTGAAGAAAATGAGATCAAAGCTATACTGGATGAGTCTTATCACAATCTCAATGATGAAGTTGAATTCGAAACCTTTCTCCGGGTGAGTTTGAGAATGTCTCTAAATCCAGTAAAACATGTTAAATTTCGTGAATTTCCAACTCAAAACAAACTCACAATAAATGGGTTGGTTCATGTTCGTTAATTATTACTTTAATCTCTTTATAACTTCCGATGTAGGATACTAACAAAACGTTGTAAAATGTGGCTAATATGATTTGTAACAGGCCTTTTTATGTGTGCAATCCCGAGGAGGAGGAGGAGGAACAAAAGGTTCATCGTTTCTCAAGACAAGTACTACAACGTTTCACCACACTATCAATGAATCCGAGAAAGCTTCATATGTGTCCCATATCAATAACTATTTGAGAGAAGATCCTCTCTTGAAAAGCTATCTTCCAATCAATCCTGCTACTGATGCTCTGTTTGATCTTGTTAAAGATGGTGTTCTTTTATGGTACACATATCTTCATAAATTATTTTCTAATATAAACATTTTGGGTGGTATTTTGGTTCTAATTATTGTTCCTTTGGTTTACACAGTAAGCTAATAAACATAGCTGCGCCTGGGACGATAGATGAAAGAGCGATCAACACGAAGAAAGAGCTTAATCCATGGGAGAGAACTGAGAACCTTTCACTCTGTCTCAATTCTGCTAAGGCCATTGGCTGCACCGTCGTCAACATTGGAACTCAAGACATTGCTGAAGGAAGAGTGAGTACTAATCTGTAAAAAAAAGATTCTTCATTTGTTTTACTCTGTTTCATATTCTGTTTTCTTGTTCTCACTTCTTGTTTCTGTAGCCGCATCTTGTACTTGGGTTGATCTTTCAGATTATAAAGGTAGACACTTTACATTACTTTAGCATAAGATGATGAGACATGGTTACCTAATTTTTTTTGTTTTTTGTTTGGGGAAACAATAAGATCCAATTGTTGGCTGATCTCAATCTCAAGAAAACTCCACAACTTGTTGAGTTGGTGGAAGAAAATCAGGTAATGAGTTTATAGCTTTCAACCTTTTATACAAGTTCTTAAAATGTGTAATTTGAGGCTGAAACTATACTTAAACAGCTTCATTAATGGTTTTTTGAAGGATGTGGAAGAGCTCATGGGTCTAGCTCCTGAAAAACTTTTGCTTAAATGGATGAATTTTCATCTTAAGAAAGCTGGTTATGAGAAACAGGTCACCAACTTCTCTTCTGATGTTAAGGTAACAAACTAGATCCTGCTACAACGTTTTTCTTCTTCATCTTGCTTGCGATTTTCAGTTATCTTGATCTAATCTATCTTTTGTGTTTGGCAGGACGGAGAGGCATATGCATATCTGCTAAATGCACTTGCCCCAGAACACAGTACACAAGTGACCTTAGAGATCAAAGACCCTTCGGAAAGAGCGAAGAAAGTCCTTGAGCAAGCAGAGAAGCTTGACTGTGAAAGATACCTTTCTCCTGAAGATATAGTGGAAGGCTCTGCAAATCTTAATCTTGCATTTGTGGCACAACTGTTTCAGCACAGGTCAATATCAGGAAAGAGTGATAATTATATATCTATTCTTCACCTTTACTAGTTTTGTTTATATATATATGATCTTTGTTGTAGGAATGGATTCTCTGATGAGACTTCGAAGACGCCTACCTCTTTTGCTGAGATCATCACAGAAGATGAAGAAACTTCTCGAGAAGAAAGATGCTTTCGCCTTTGGATTAACAGTCTTGGTGCTGCCACTTATGTAGATAATGTTTTCGAGGATGTTAGAGACGGGTAAGCATTGCAGTTTCTTTTTGTTTCATTGATCTTTATTTGCTTGAATCTAAACTTCCTAATGACATTTCTCAGATGGGTTCTTCTTGAAGTTCTTGACAAAGTATCACCAGGCTCGGTTAACTGGAAATATGCAAATAAACCGCCCATCAAAATGCTATTCAAAAAAGTTGAAAATTGCAACCAAGTTATCAAGATTGGTAAAGAATTGCACTTCTCGCTTGTCAATGTAGCGGGTACTGACATTGTTCAAGGAAATAAGAAGCTCATTCTCGGTGAGATACCTTCCTGCAGAAAAAAATTCTGTTACGTTTTCTAGTTTTAGTTAAAACTTGATGACAATCTTTGTATGCAGCGTTCTTGTGGCAATTGATGAGATACACAATGCTCCAAATTCTGAATAACTTGAGATCTCACTGGAAAGGTAAAGAAATTACAGAAGCAGATATTCTGAACTGGGCAAATAGGAAAGTCAAGAAGATGGGTCGAACCTCTCAAGCTGTGAGCTTCAACGTAAAGAAAAGAGTCAAACATGGAGACTAGAGTACCCATTATTCATATAAACCTTAAAAAAAATTGATGGTTACTTTTTAGGACAAGAATCTGTCGAATGGAATCTTCTTTTTGGAGCTTTTGAGTGCTGTGGAGCCAAGAGTTGTAGACTGGAGTCTTGTAACCAAAGGAGAAACAGGTAGTAAAACTCTTAGTTGTTTATCAGCATTTGAAAAGAATTGAGTTAAGGTTGGTTTTTGATTGGCAATTTTAAGCAGAAGAGGAAAAGAAGTTGAATGCAACATACATCATAAGTGTTGCAAGGAAGCTTGGATGCTCAATTTTCTAGTTGCCTGAGGAAATTATAGAGGTAGATTATAGCTTCATATTCCGCAGTATTTTTTTCAGGCTGGGTTGCTTTATCAGTCTGTATGTAAACAATGATAACAGGTAAATCAGAAAATGATGCTTATATTGGCTGCGAGCATCATGAACTGGAGCCTCCAGCAACAATCAGAAACTGGCTCTACTGTGTCTGATGATGGTGATGTAAGCTCTGTGACAGAAGAGATCTCCAATTTGTCCACAGACGATGGATCTTCAGATGCCCAAGATGATGAAATGTTAAACAAGTTTGAGACTTTCTTATTCTTGGATTGAAGTTTAGGTAGCGAAAGAGAAAACAAGATAAGAGACAATGTAGCTTTATTAGATATACAAACAGAGAATCTGATACATATTGTACAACTGTGTATTTGATTTGTGGTAAGACATCGTTATTGTAGACTCAAGACATTGTTATTGTAGACTCTTGGTCACTGTTCTAGCTCAAATCCTATAAATAAGAAGTGAAATCAGAGACTAAACTACTGCAGGCGAAGCAAATTGAGCACATATACTAAAACAAGATACTGAAATTCTATTATTGACATCTGCAACATGTTTGATCCTTTGTGTAAAGAAAGATTTGAAGGTTCTATATAATATTATGAGAATGGGGAGCAACAGTCTATATAGAAAAAGACAGACTCAAAACTTTGTTTTCACCAGATTCTTAAGGAGAACTTGTAATCAGTCCTCAGCTTCTGACTCGGATTTCTCCTGCTCTGCCATTTCCACGAGCATTCTGAGGCGCTTATCGAAAATCAAAGCACTCTCGTCTCTCATGTCAAGCTCTAAAGCCTCTGCTTCAAGCCACTTTTCTCTCAGGTCATCGAGCAGATTCCCTTGGTCTGTGGTCATCATTGCGCCTGGTGCACTTGGAGCAGTGGTTCGAAGTGAAGAGTCACCAGATGGTGGAGGCAATGTTAATAGCATTGCCCTGAACTCGCGGGTTTCAACAAATGCCTCGAAATTACAAGCAACCAAGTCTAAGCAGTACTCTCTTATCTTCAACACGCCGTACCTATGTCATTCAAGTTCAAAACTAAACCTCTCAGCATCAATGTTTTACAAATAGAACCGGTACCTCGAATCAACTAGAATCAAAATCGTCAAAACTAATAGAGACATTATGTTTTAATTCCCATGACTAGCAGTCAACAAATTTTAGTGTAATAACATATGTACCGTTAACCTATCCTGCTCGACCATTGAATACGCCAAAGTTAGCCATCAATTAGAAAATTGGTTTAGAGAAGAAGAAAATCATACATATCTGACAAAACCAGCCAATGACAGAGTTCTGCAGGTGTGGCAGTTTCCAAGTGAGGCAACAAAGCGTCAGCCACAGCACGTTTCAGAGGAAACAGCAAGTAGCGAGATGCAACATCAAAGATTTCCTCAGCCTGCAAAATGAGTAAAATTATCAGAAGGAAAGGTAAATTACAGAGGATATTCTCTAAATAGCAAACATGTTTTAACCTGATTCGGATTGATCTCCTTCAGGCCATCAGTGTACCTGATAATGCTTCTCGAGTTAGCTTATCGTGCCAAAAATAAGTTTTTCAAAAAACTTTCTCAGGTTTTTTGCTTACATATACTCAATCATCTTCTCGAAAGCCTCTGCACTTAAATCATGTTCTTCGAGAGCTGGAAGACAATCACCCGGCAAATCATTTTTGCCCTCATGGAAATCATTCACACGGGATAATCTTGCTCTGAAGTACTCTGATCTCGAAGCTAGAATGACTTGATGGCAATAGAAAGTCCTTTTATCAACTTTAACACAAACATCAGCAAGGCTATCCACAGAATCACTGACTCTCTTATCCCCAACAGACGAATTTAATGAATCGCCACTGGTATCTGCAAATGGCTTCGCTAGGGAAACCCGAAGAATCCTATGCAATGAAGCAGGAAGCCTGTCTTCCTCTGGAAGAGATATCCCTTGTAAGATAAACCGTTTCATGGAGTTATCAAGATCTCTATGTGTTTTGTACTCAGCATATTTCTGATGAATCAGTTCCTTCTCGATAATCCTCTGCAGCGATTCGCATTTACAAACTTTGCAGATCCTTTCAAGGTCTTCCATATCATCGACCGATATCTCCAGCCTATCCGAGTAGAAGAAGTGGATGAGGCTACACAGAGCAGGATACGAAAGCTTCTCTTTCGAGAACCTAACTTCTCTTCGGTCTTTCCATTCACTCTCGAACTTTTGCTTGAAAAACGGAGACCGAGCACTTAAGATAACCCTGTGTGCTTCAATCGGTCTACCTTGCACGAAGAAAACCACATCTGGTGGGAAGTAATTGGAACTACCCATCTCATCTACTGAAACTGAGACTGCAAAACACTCTCTCATGCGTCAGTCTCTAGAGACCACATACAAAGCTAACACGCACAAGAAGCTATCTCAGTAAAAATCTCTGCAACTACAAGAACTAAACGACAATGTACTAAATTGGATTCAAGAACTCAAATTTCCTTAAAAAATGGATTGAGAGTGAACAATTAACTACAGTATACCGAACAATTCAAGTTCTCAACTACAATGTACTAAACAATTCAAGAACTCAACTACAGTGTACTTAATTGGATTCCAGAACTCAACTATCCATAAAAACTGGATTGTGAGTGAACAATTCAAGAACAAAACTACAATGAACTGAACAATTCAAGAACTGCAATGTACTGAATTGGATTCAAGAACTCAACTTTCTTTAATTGTGAGTGAAGTGGGAAAGAAACAATCAATCTTAATTGAGGATTCCATGATTGGAAAAAACATACCGGAAACATCAATATTAGCAACGGAAGCTTGTTTCAGATACGCCCGATTGTGGAAGCAACCCAGAAACGTTTCCCTAAGAGAAGCTTGCAATGGAGCAAGCGGAGGCGGACGAGCCTCAAACGCCTTGAGAAGCTTCCGAATCCTAAGGTTAAGAGAGGCGTAGTGACAACGATCGCCGTCGAAAGTGTGTTCGGAGCAAATAGCGCCGTTCTCAAGAAGCATCCGAGCAGCGTCGATGTGACCGGCGAGACAAGCGTAGTAGAGAGCTACAGAGTCCCATCGGTCACGGGCGTTGACGTTAACTCCAGTCTCGAGTAGGTATCGGAGCCTATCGACGTCTCCGGCGCGTGAGGCCTCGAAAATGTCTCCGTTGGGGACTTTTTTCAGAGGTATTGAAGGTCCGTAATCTTGGAGGTCAATGTCTAGATCTTCGAGGTCGGATTCAAGTGTCCAAGACGATGAACTCTCAATCGGAGACATCGTCGACGAAATCGCCGGATTTAGATAGAGAAGAAACGCATAAACCCTAGAGAGAGTGGTGAAGTTATCGTTTCCATGGTGGTCTTGTGGTTTTTTACTTAATTCTGAGGTTTAGTGGAGATTAACGATTGATTAGTGAAGATAAAAGTGTTGTTGTTACTTATCTACGGAGGTCTTAGCTTGGTCTCACACATCATTAACGATATTTTTACATAGGTGACAGACTGACAGTTATAAAACCTGGCCGACATGGTTATATAATATGGTCGGAGCTTGGGACAATGCCATATTGGGACATGTCATATTAGTGTAGCTAAAGTTTATATAATATGGTCGGAGCTTGGGACAATGCCATATTGGGTCATAGGTCATATACTCATATTAGTGTAGCTAAAGTTTACATGAGAAAGTTATAAGAAATGCTTTATTTACAAACCAAAGGAAGGTAAATGGGAAATGAGACTAGGTGTTATAGTCTGGGAATTGAGAGAATGTGTTATGTGTGCATCTTTGAAGACATATCGTATTTGTACCCCAAATCGGTTTTCGTAGTCGAGGATCATCTAACAAAATTCAGGCTTAAAATCTAAGAATCTTAGACTACCTACCATACATGACTCTGCAATATAAGGGTAGGGCTTTTGCAACTTGAAACAAGGACAAAAGGTTTTGTTAGCACGGACTATGAAAATATTAATGACACAAGCGGTTTTAGCATATGGTCCAAACGCAGAGATGTAGAGAATGGTGAAGCGTTTAGGATTTAGGCTGAAAGTTTGGTGATGATTGGTCATTTATGGCCAAAATGAGTTATAAGAAAGCTGACTAAGTAAGTAATTTGATGTGTGGAAAATATAATGAAAAATTGTAATGAGAGAACCATGAATAAGCTGGATGTTTGTTGTGATTCATGAAAACCTTTACACCTCATAATTTTTTATCTATCTATTAAGATTTTGTTTATCCTTGTATTCATTAGATTGTGAATAACAATATGACTTTGAATTTATATTAACAATTGATTATTCACGCTTCCATCCGTTTTTGTATTGTGTTGTCTGGAGAAGTCTCACAATTATGGTTTTGTTGGAGATTAAAAGATTTGGGTATCACCAACTATCGTTAGTTCGACTGGCAAATGAACTTTAAACAAAGCTTAAAGATCACAAGATTGATTGTTGCTTGGAACAGAACTAATATTATTTGTTGTAGTTCCGGAGTCGAGGGATTACAGGCTTGTCCAAAACCTCCTGATAAAAAAAAATGAAAAAAAAAAGATTTGGACATCTTGGACATAGAAGAAGAGTATGGTTAGTAGGATATGAATAATATGCGGATTCATTAATAAAAATTCTATCAAAGATTACTCGCAAATAGCTTTGTATAAAGCTGAAGACATCTCTGTTATAAACGCCTCGATTGCTTGCTATATGGATTCATGTGCTAACACGGTCTTGTTCATTTCAAACCTGCAAGCCGTGACTACATGAGCTGTTTAGTTCACAAAGTAGAACTGCCTCTTTGGAGTTCCTTTCATTATCTTTGTAGTATGATTTGCTTTGATCCTTACTTAGGATGTTGTACTCTTCATGGTTTTAATTTTAGTGGAATTTCAGTGAAAAGAAAAAAGAAAAACAAAATGATCAGCGTAGGATTTGAATCCAGATAGCACCAAAGCTTCCCCGGAGGTCCGCTCCGCACTTTGGAATTGGAATCGGAATCTTTCGGAAGCTCACAAGTCTTGATAAATATATTGTTGATCAACATGTAATGACTAATATATAATGAGTTTTTCATGGCAGAAAATTGGTTTTATAGATATATTTATTTAGATGATAATTTTAGCCAAAAGGTTTCACTATTTATGTTCTAGTTGATGATTATGTTTTATATTAAACAGAACAGTAATTTTTAAAAAATCACAATTTAAAGTTTTTGTTTAAAATGTTGTTTAAATTTTTTTAAATATATAATAACATAAAATTAATATCAAAATAATTCAAACTATTAGAGGTAAGAGTTTGACTTCCAAAATATGCAAATTATAATTAGAGTCAGCTCTGGGCTAAAGTCTATCAAGCAATGGTTTTAGGTGGCCCAAAAATCTAACATTTTTTGAAGCAGCAAAAAAATCCCACAATTTTTTTTTTTAAATGTGTATTAAACTTTGT